GCCAGCGAATGCATTCGCTGGCTGGGGAATTCTGGGAGTTGAAGTCCGGACATCTTCAAGTTGCCAAGGTTGAGAAACACTGAGTTAGAGCCAACAGGTAGCAGATATCGCCCCGGCTCTATGCGTTCCTATTTAACTATGTTTTTGAGGCTGGGCGCATGTGTGGAAGGCATGCATACAAGCAAAGCCCATGCACGGAAGGCTAGGTGCATGCCCTGAAGGTGCGCGCACATGTGGCAAACTGTTGGTAAAAATAAGTGAAACCCACCACTGGAACTCCCGCCAATACTGAGAGGGCAAGCAACTAGATAGTATATAAAATGAGAGCAAACCCCACTCCCTATTAGCACTGATGGTGTCACCTAGTTTGGTAATGAAACATCTGCAAGAAAACAACCAACCTCAGAGAGGACCAGGTACCCCTCAGCTCCAAATATTCTCTTCTATGGGAAAGAGCAGTTAAGGCTTGGTCACTTACGTCCACAGTAAGCATGGTAGCAGACACTGGGCTTGGCTAAGTGGTAGACGTAATAGCCTCCGGGACATGCCTTGATTTCAACCGTCGAATTCCAGAAGCAGCAGTTTTCATTGAAAGTTGCACAGGTCTGCCTTTGGACAATGCCCTCTGATTCTTGAGGATGGCTGCCGTTTAGCCAGATTGGGGCATGGGTGCCACAGTGGTTCTCGGGAATGCAGAAGGTAGGCATGGCATCTCCGGCCATCCCCGTAAAGCGATACCATTCCCCGTCCACATGACTGTCACATTCAGGCTGGTCGGTAGAATCGTTGACCTGGAAATCTGTGTTCCTCCAAGGTTCATTCAGACTAATGTAGGCAGAGCAAGGATCAAGAGCTGGAAGACAGGAAGAGAAAAGCTTGTCATTATCCATGGCAGGATGTTAATCATACTGGAACCCTATAGCAGTTATTTATTTATTTATTTATTTTGTCACGCTTGCGTTGGATAACATATACAAGCAGTGACGTGCGGTGAAGCTTCTGGCTGGTGAGGCAAAAAGAAAGAAAGCGGCNTCCCTCCTTCTCCCTCCCTCCCCCTCCCTCCTCCCTGTCTCCTTTCCTCTCTCCCCTCCCTCCTTCTCTCCCTTCCTCCTTCTCCCTCCCTGTCTGCCTGCCTTCCTACCTCTCCCTGCCTCTCTCTTTCTTCCCTCCCTCCCTCTCTCCTTTCCACCTTCCCCTCCTTCTCCTTCTCTGCCTGCCTGCCTCCCTCTCCCTCCCTCTGTCTTCCCCCTCCTTCCCTCTCCCTCTCACTCTTTCTTCCTCTCATCCTCTCTCTCTCTTTAATGAAAATAAACTTTTCAAAAAAGAGGGGGGGCAGAGAGGAGACCAGGAAGTTGTGTTAGGGCACATTAGCACCATGTTGTCTAGTGTTCCTATAAAACTGCCAAGATCTAAATGCTGTCGGGTGAAAAGGCTGGAAATGCCTGCAAAACTTTGATGTTATTGATTTGTAACTGTTTTATAAGTAAGTTTGATAAGTCTTTGAACAAGAAGGGAAAAATCAATAGTTTCTCCTCCAAGAAAAAGGGAAGGAAAGTATTTTTCAAGGTCAGCTGGATACTCATTTGGAGATGTCATAAAGTTAGTATATTTTCTTCCACGATTTTCTGAAATTGTAGCTCTTTCTGCTAATTCAATATATATTTGCTTAATTCTTAAAATGCATTTGTTACAGCCTTAGAACTATTTAACGAATCAACTTAATAATCCCCCATCATGGTATTATATTTTGTATATAGGATAAAATCCCTCCATTAGGATACCCACAAATGTAGTCAGCCATAAATACATACACAAAGATACAGATAATCCTCGACTTATGACCATAGTTGATTCCAAAATTTCTGTTACTTAGCTAAAGCTAAGCTGTTAAGTGAGTTTTGCCCCATTTTACAACCTTTCTTGCCACAGTTGTTAAGTGAATCATTGCAGTTGTTGAGTTAGAGACATGATTGTTAAATATTTCTAAATGGCTTCCCCACTGACTTTGCTTGTCAGAAAGTAGTAAAAAGTGATCACATGACCCTGGGACACTTCAGTTGTTATAAATACGTGGATTCTGATCACGTGACCACAGGGATGCCACAATGGTTGTAAGTATGAAAAGCAATCGTAAGTCACTAAGTGAATGATTGCAAGCCGAGGCTACTTGTATGCTCACAATAGCTATTTTGCCAGTGTATAAGTTAGACCATTTACAAAATGCTAACTTTTAAAACAATATGCAATATTGCTAAAAAAAACCAAACACCACCCAGTTTACTGACAAATTCAGAAAAACAGAATAGCGGAGATGGAAGGGACTTTGGAGGTCTTCTAGTCCAACCCCTTGGACAAGCAGGAGACCCTATATAATTTCAGACAAATGTCTACCCCAATCTCTTCTTAAAAATGCAGCACCCACAACTTCTGAAGACAAGCTGTTCCATTGTTTAACTGTTCTCACTGTCAGGAAATTTCTCCTACGTTCCACGTTGCTTCTCTCCTTGATTAACTTCTATCAATTGGTTCTTATTCTGCCTTCAGGTGCCTTGGATAATAGGTTGACTCCTCTCTTCTTTGTAGCCACTCCTTAGATATTGGAACAGTGCTATCATGTCACCCTTAATCCTGCTAGCAGTGTGCCAGTATTTGAGGGACTGCCAGAAAGAAGAGGGGGTCCAATATACGATAGTCCAAAGTTTGGACTGTCTAAATTTGGCAGTCTAAAACTTTTCCCCAAAGAAAGAGCATGACCTGTCTTCTAAATATCACAAGGGATTACTCTAGATTGTGCAAAAGATATTCAAAGGAAAGATGCCGGGGTGGGATTCAGCCCATTAGGACCGGTTTGGGTGAACCGGATGCTAATTTTACATCTGGTTCGCCAAACTGGTAGATGGAAGGACTGGCTGGCCCCGCCCACCCTCCCCTCCAGGAGTCTACACACAGCCCATTTTGCAGTGACGTGCGGTGTGGTTTATGGCTGGTGAGGCACTGACATAGTGGTGGGTTTCAAATTTTTTTAGACTTGTGGACTTCAGCTCCCAGAATTCCACAGCCAGGCATGCTCAGTTCCAATTTAAAGCGACAGCATTTGTTTTTCTCCTTTGCGAAAAATTTCCTTCATTCTTTTTCTTCTCCCTCCCTCTCTTTCCACCCTCTCTCCCTCTCTCCCCCCTCTCTCAAACAGACACACGGACACAGAGAAGTGTGTTTGTGTGTGTGTTTGAAAAGGCAACGTGGCTCTGCCTGCAATCAAACTACACTT